AGATGACCTCAGGGCATAAACAAGGGTCACGGACACCATTTTCAAGTTCAGTGTGTCTAAACCACTTGTAATTCGGTGTTTGGGAGTGTTTATAATGTCTTTCATCCAAAAGAGGCGTATTTCAATTTTCTCCCATTGACTTATAATGGGGAGGTCGCAAAATTGACCTGACCTTAGGTCATCGATATCAAAATTCTGAGATATACATTTTGTACATGCTATTGCTCTTAGCAATCGCTGAAAGTTTCAAAGCGATCGGTCACTCGGTGTAGCTATGACAGACATTGAAAGTTTTGATGAGGTGAGGTCACTTCAAGTGACCTGGTGACCTGACCTTAAATGACCTTGGTCTGAAATTTTCACAACATGTGTAGAATTGATGTATGATAAGGTGTACCAAAAACGGCGGCGCTCCGCGCCGCCGTTTTTGAGATATTCGCGAAAAACCACAGGGGGGGGGTGTTCAAACACCCCCCCAGCAGGGCGCGGGTTAACACGCGCAGTGGAAGGGGGGGGGGCGGATTTCGCCCACCCCTCCTGTTTTTCGCCAATAACTCCCGCCACAAGCACAATATCAATGTGAAATTTCGGCTACCTGTCCAGAATTGAATTGCGGATGTTCTCGTGCAAGAAGTAAGAAAATCGGTTCACAACTTTTCTAGTAATAGCGGTGTAAAGTCAAACATCGTGCCGCCGCGGCGGCGCGGCGGCGCGGCGGCCGGCGCTAGCCGTTACGCGCCGCCTGAATTGTAGACTGTGCCGGGGCGGGACGGTTCCGTCTTTACATCGCGCTCCTTACCGCTGATTATATTAGATTCGCGTCAAATTCGGTGAGAAGACTGAGAAATATACAGGCAATCATATGGTTAAAGAATTTTGAAAATCGGCCGGTAACAACTTGAGTTATGAGTGTGTAAACACAAAATTGTGATTGCCACGTTTCCCGCGTCGGCCGATGCCGCTTCAGCCGGCGACATCTGACCCTTAGCAGGCTTCTAACTGCCATATTTATTGTTGGATTATCTAGAAATTCACCATACATACTCACAAATGTTTGCTCTTTCGTATAGTGAAAGTTTTTAAAAAATCGGCCGGTAACTTTTTGAGTTATCGGCGTGTAAACGCAAAAAAGTCGCTAATATGGCAGATTTGACCACATTTGACCTCATTTGACCTTGAAGATATTGACCTAGGGTCACGAAATTCACACACAATAGAGTTCCCTATGGCCCCCACCTACCCTCCAAATTTCGTCTTTCTAGCTCCAGTGGGAGCTGAGATCTTAGGGGGGGGGCGACATCCGCCCCCCCTTCCACTGGGCGTAGTACTCGCAACCCTTCCACTGCGCGTGTTAAATACCTCCCTTGAATTCTTCTAATATACCCTAGTGTACAGTCTCTGCCGCTACTGTCAGATACCGTACCTGTGCCGCTCGGCGCCTCCGGCGGTGACCGGTCGGCGGGCCGGGACTGGCCGGCCGGGCGGGCGAGGAGGACGGGCAGTCGCTCCCTGGACGTGTTGCTGACGACTAACCCGCGCCCCGCTGGGCTATTCAGCCATACGTGCCCTGCTGGGGATAGAACCTTAACCCTCGTTTTGGATGTGTTACGATATATAAAGGGAAATCGGACGAGGGAGCTGAGAGTAATGAGACAGTTTCTGAGCAAGTTCTACGGCGAATATACCTAGGGCATTATTACTTTCCCGTCTGGGTCTATGTGGGGTCTAATGCAAGAATACATTGAGATCAGTGATGGAAATCACAGAATAATACGGGAGTGTTACGTGGTATAATGCGAGTATAGTTTGCAAAATATCCCCCTTATACGCTTAGAAGGAATACTAGAGGTTTCGATGTAAGGGTATTTTGGTAGGTTAAAAGGAGTGTACTGAGGGTATCGCAGGGAATAGAACAGGAATCATATTCCTTTCCTCTTCGGTACTTACTAGGGTATATTAGAAGAATTCAAGGGAGCTATTTAAAGAACAAGGGTATAGTTTGGGTATATTCGAAGAAATGATCAGGGTGTTGTTTTAGACCAAAACCCCTAATATGCTCAAAAGGAATCAAAAAGGTTCTCAGTGTAGGGTATATTAGAAGAATTTCAGAGTGATATTCAAAGAAAGTGTATTTGGGGTATATTCGGAGAAATGATCAGGGTGTTGTTTTAGACCAATTCCCCTAATATGCTTAAAAGGAATCAAAACAGCTCTCAGTGTACCTTTTTAGTGCATTTTATCGGATTCCTGTGGCGTCCAGATTGAGTTAACCTAAACACATATCCTAAGTCATATCACATAGCATTAACCTGATAACGTATGTTAACGCCATAGGATCAACGAGGGGTCAACTGAGGTCATTTTGTTGACCCTTGTGACCTCGGGTCACACGCAGGAACTTACTTTTGAGCAGTCCTGTCGCTCAGAATCTTGATCTGTCGGGGGCCCGTTTTTCAAGTGACTCAATCTGGACGCCACTAGTAAACCGATAAAATGCACTAAAATAGTACCTTCCGAACGGAAATTGAATGCTCTTCAAGGGACTGGGCTCAGAATTTGGATAGGGCCTTTAGTTTTTCTCTATTTTGAAATGAAATCGAAAAAATGTCAAATTTTTACAAAATTTCAATATTTTCTTACTTTAACATAGATTTATGACGTTATTTTTACACGCAAATATGCAAAACCGGATATCATTCGAAAGCTTGTGGCATAGGAAGGGCGATGAAAGTTACCGCGAGTCGATTACTCAATTACACCGGACACAGTGGGCCAAAAACCGAATTTCGGGGCCAAAAATCGAAAATCGTCTCTGAAAACCGGAAAAGCATTTTCAGATCAAAACAAATGCCCATTTCGGTTATAATGGGACCCAATGAGTCCAAAAAAAATCGGTCGTTACTCAGGAACAAAATGACTGTTGCATAGTGTTATGTAATGGCACTGCACATTTTTTTTATGATCAATTGTGCGAAAGTGAGCCCGGGCTTATTTTGTCTTCTTTCTACTTATGTACTCCACGATCTGTGGTTAAATGTTACTGGAGGTCTGAATCAGTAAGTGACACCACTCGTGTCAAATCAGGACTTACATTCATCGACGAGGTAATTTCACTAGAACATAGAAGACGGTTGTGTAGCCGATCAGAATTTACACTTCCAGCCACCGGTAGCTACTTTATCGGTGGCTGGACATTCATTCTATTTACCTTCTAGTTTTTTTTTCTACTACGTATTCAAGCTACTTTCTAGTGGCTAATGACATTCATTAGCCACTAGAAAAAGAGGCAAGTGCTAATAGAATGGGAGCTTGCACTTGCTCCATATAAACATTCATTCTTGCAGCAAGCTGGCGTTGACGCTATACCTAGGTGCTTGTTTAACTAAGGCACAACAGTTCGAATATGATGCCATTTTGATGTTGATTCGTTTCACCAAAAATCACCTATCCGCTTACTTTTCTTCAACGTGCGTTCGGTCAATAGCTTATCATATTCTCGCTTGTATTATTCATCCACCTTCGCCGAGGCGCCGACAAATAAAAGGCGCCTCTCTCGTCGTTCGGGGCGTGTCTTATCAATTTTAGAGCACCTCCTCCGAATTCGACGGCGACGAAAACATTGAAACCGTGCGCTCGACGAACGGGCTGACTGCGCCGTGTGTTCGACGGGACAGCAGCCGGTGGACGAGGTTGGTGACAAAAAGGACAGCGTTCAATGTCAAACGTGCAGCTGACCAAACTTTCAACACCTTGATGTGTTGCAGCGACATATGCTAGAGATAAAACACACTTCTAGTTTAGGGCAATAATATTGAATTCAGGTTGAAAAAGAATAAGGGTGCGTTGCAAAATGTTGCTATGCATTACAGTATAACACCTTATAACGCACGTCGCACAACGAACCACATCAAACCTGATTCTGAAGTGCAAAATTATAAAGTTGGTCTATCAAGTCTGCATCGCAAAAATCACAATCCACACAAAAAATATATCAGCGCTCTCTCACGTATTTCCAAAATCATTACTCAAACCTAGCATGAAATGATACTAAGCTCTGTGCTACAAAGCGCATGCAGCAGGCCCGTTACCAGCTATACCGGCGATGCCCGGGTAGGGCAGGGGTACAGTCTCCTCCACACCGCCCTGCGGCTCAGGGGCGCTCCCAAAGTCATGCCAGCCGGGTACAATACCGACCATACAGTAAGGATCGCTGAGGCCTTCAGAGGCGGCCGCATCCGAAAGAGAGAGAGAGAGAGAGAGAGAGAGAGAGAGAGAGAGAGAGAGAGAGAGAGAGAGAGAGAGAGAGAGAGAGAGAGAGAGAGAGAGAGAGAGAGAGAGAGAGAGAGAGAGAGAGAGAGAGAGAGAGAGAGAGAGAGAGAGAGAGAGAGAGAGAGAGAGAGAGAGAGAGAGAGAGAGAGAGAGAGAGAGAGAGAGAGAGAGAGAGAGAGAGAGAGAGAGAGAGAGAGAGAGAGAGAGAGAGAGGAGAGAGAGAGAGAGAGAGAGAGAGAGAGAGAGAGAGAGAGAGAGAGAGAGAGAGAGAGAGAGAGAGAGAGAGAGAGAGAGAGAGAGAGAGAGAGAGAGAGAGAGAGAGAGAGAGAGAGAGAGAGAGAGAGAGAGAGAGAGAGAGAGAGAGAGAGAGAGAGAGAGAGCAAAAGACAGTCAGCGTGACGTCAGCAACACAAAAGCGCTACCACATAGAGCACAAGAGAAATTCCAATAAGGAACGCATAAAAACAATCACATGGAAACAAAAGTGAATCCAGCGGTTGTCAACAGTGAACACATAAAAAGCGGCGTGAAAGCGAGCTACACTTAGAAGCAAAATGAAAAACAGCATTTACGACCGTCGCGCATTCTAAGATTTGCCCAAATTAGTTTGACGCCACATTACGTAAAGCCCGCAACAATCAGCACTGACGACAATGACACCCATAGCTTGATTGACCACAGAGCGTTGCGAAGCTGTGAGGAAGTAAAACATGCGCCATTGTCTCACTTACCGTCAGCATCCTTGGCCTCGAGACCGCTGGCCTCAACCACTACCAGGTTCAGGATGACGATGGGCGGCTGTAATAAATAGGGACCCAAGCAGGTCATGTCACCAAACAACACCGGCAGAGAGACAAATGAGATATGAAACGAGCCCACTTCGACAGTTTTATTGAACATGAAAAGTATACAGCGTTTTGAATCGTACTTGGAAACAACATCAACAAAATGCCAATAGTCTGAAATATCAGAAACAGGCACTGTTGACATGCGTGTAGGTTTCGGCTCGGCTGCTGGATACAAATTGATCCGGCTAGGGGTTTTGCACGTCCATTGCAAATGACCCATGAAATGGACAAGGCCAAAAGCCGTTATGTCCTGAGTCTGACTACCCAGGGAAAAATGAGAAATGAGACAAGCAATTTCCATCTATTGAGTCCCGCTCCATCTCCCGCCACATCTGACTCTTTTCTCTGCCCTCATTGCCTCCACTTTTCCTCCCTCCATCCTGCCCATTTCCTTTCTATTCCCACCCTTCTTTTCAGGGTAAGCGTGATAAAGCTATTTGCGCCGGTTCAGTTCCCTGCACACGCAGCCACAATGCAACCGCACTCAGGCAGCCAGCATGGTGTAGCAGTAGAGTATAGTCACCATTTTGCCTTACATAATGTACTAAAAGCAATATCTTTTTATTGCTGTTCAAGTGCTGAACACTTGACGATATTACCAGATATTGTGTGGCGTGGGTATAGCATAACTAATGCTTTTGGCGTAGGTGTAAGCACAAAAATTAGTTGAAGAGCGATTACTACAAAATAAAATCTGAATATAAAAGAGACTTAGCTGCAATCAACCTCAAATCTTTAAGTCAAAGGGAGGACCTGTCTTCCTCTACTCCTCCTCTCCCCTCCCCTCTCTCCCCACATGTGCCCCCTCCTGCTATTGTGTGACTGTGTGCGTGTCCGCCTCACTTTGCCGGGCAGTGAGGGCCGCCAATGAACCGCCAAACACTGGAGCTGCCGTGACGAGCCGTCATCAACCGTTTCCCGAGCGGTGCCACGACAAAAATGGACAACTCCAGACAGGCCATAAACGGGAACCGAACACAACGGGACTCAGGGCGCAAACACCACAGCATTGAGTATAACTGAACCGAAACTTCGGAACGATGAACGGAAATATGACGCGAGAACCACGCCCCGGGAACAGGGTTAGAACAGAACTAAGGCATCGGAACGATTCTTGCCGATGAACTTAGGGGAGTTGGATGGCCGAAGTTGGGGACAGGAAGGCACGCAATGGGACCGCAGGGCGGACCGTCGACTGCACCGGATATAGCTTCTTGCAGTGCCTCGGGGAGGACGCCGTTTCGCATCAACAACAACACCCTCATCAGCGGCCCCCGCGAGGTCACAGTAAGTGTGATTAGGGCAGGTCAGAACAGTGAAGAACGATCAACACGATGATAATTGATATAGATAACTGGATAAGGTCACCTGATAGCCAGCATCATTGTCGGTATATCGCGGCGGGGTGCGGCACTGATGCGACGGCAGCGCTGTTTTACCTTGAAGTGTACTTTAAGAAGTCAGCATTTAGTTTAGTCGTACGTGGCAACGCGATGTTAAGTAAGCATCTCGTACTGTTCAGTACTTTGTGTTGCTGTTTTGACTTAGGCGGCAACGTTGTATTAAATGTGTGTATCGAACAGTTCATTTCATTGTGTTGTTGTTGCCTATTAGAAGGCGGTAGAATTAAGGATAGTAACGCTATATGTAAGAGAGATCAGGGGCGATGCGCCCAGGGTCAGTGGCACAGCTTGGACCTCAGACAGTAATTATGGGAAGTAGTAATTTGAAGTTTTGCTCGCTAAATTGCAGGGGCTTAGCAGATTTCAGAAAACGTAGAGATGTGTTCAATAAATTAAGGAAAGATGGATATAATATTCTTCTTCTTCAGGATATACACTGCAAAGCTGACAAACAGAACGAATTCAGAAATAGTTGGGGTAAAGACATTTTAATAGCGCCATACACACATAATGCTAGAGGGCTCGCGATATTGACTCACGGAGTTGAAGTTGAGTACAGTAATGTGACATATGATAGAGATGGAAACTTTATAATAGCAAAAATTACTATTGATAAAGTGTACCAGCTTATCGTGGTGAACATTTATGCGCCAAATACGGACAATCCAATGTTTTTCAGCAACATAGATAGAATACTTGAAGACTATAACGATCTCCCAATTATTATTGCTGGTGATTGGAATTTAGTTATGGATCAGGGACTAGATACGTACGGGTATAGGCGCAGTAATCACCCTAGAGCGAGAGGCAAAGTTTTGGAAATTCTTAAAAAGAGAAACCTGGTAGATATATACAGGAGGCGTAATCCTGACGAAAGGCAATATACATGGCGTGTTATCAATCCCGAGATCAAACAGGCCAGACTTGATTTCTTTGTTATATCAGAGGAACTGTGTGCGGTGACAGTTGAGGCTACTATTGTTCCAGGTTATAGAACCGACCATTCTATGGTTTGTTTAACGCTGAACTTCGCGAACCAAGATAGAGGAAGAGGTTTATTTAAGTTTAATTGTTCTTTATTGCGGGATCAAGAATACTCCACTTTAATAAAGCGAACTATAGTAAATACAATCATAGACTATGCCTTACCCGTATACTCGCATGAATTTCTTCAGTCAGTTATAGGTACTGAATATTTCAGTGACGTGCAATTCACTATAAGTGATTCGCTTTTGTTTGAGGTGCTAATTTTAAATCTCAGAACAGAAACTATAACTTATGGAATTAAAAAGGCAAAACATTACAGAAGAGAGGGAAGGGTATTAGAACTTGCAGTATCTCAACTTGAGCAAACAATGAATAGTAATCCTAACCGTGAAACGGCTAGTGAACTGGCGGATGCTCAGGGAAAACTAGAAGAGCATAGACAAATTTTGATGAGTGGGAACATAACCCGATCTAGGGTGCAATGGTTTGAAGAAGGGGAGAGATCGACCAAGTATTTCTTGGGTCTGGAAAAACGCAATTACGTTAGCAAATTAATACCGTGTTTGCAGACAGATGATGGCGAGACAGTTCAAAATCAAAATGAAATTCTTAGCGTGGTAGAGCGTCATTTCAGCGAGATGTTTCGGTCACACGACACGGAAGACGATCCGCTTGAATTTTTGAACTGTGTAGAACTTCAAAAACTTACTAAGGTCGATATAGACCATATTAAAGTAGCGTTGACATTGAAGGAGGCTGGACACGCCCTTTATGCAATGAAAAACAATAAGTCGCCAGGTAGTGACGGGTTTCCAGCAGAGTTTTATAAATTCTTTTGGATAGATCTAAAATTTATTGTGATGAGGATGTTGTCGTCTTGCTTCACGTCACGAGTCATGCCACCGTCATTAAGAGAAGGTATCATAACTTTGATACCGAAGGGTGGGAAACCCAGGAACCTGATCAATTCATATCGACCTATTACGCTCTTGAACACAAGTTATAAAATTTTATCCGCTTGTATAGCAAATAGATACAAACAAGTGGTAGGGAAGTTAGTAGATCCAGCACAGACTGGGTTCATTAAAGGTCGATTTATCGGAGACAATACGCGGTTGATGAGTGATATCATGACGTATTTGGAACATGAAGGACGTTCCGGGATCTTTTTGAGTCTGGATATTGAAGGGGCGTTCAACACACTAAGCTGGAAATTTATTAGCGCCGCTCTGGATAAGTATAACTTCCCTGCAGAATCCATTAGATGGTTTCATTTGATGAATGAGGGGACATATGCAAGAATTCTATACAATGGACATTTGTCTAACAAAGTTAAACTGCTTAGATCCTGTAGACAGGGGGACCCTGTAAGTCCTTATATTTTCTTGTTGGCCATTGAGTGTTTAGCTTCACTTGTGAGGCAAAACAAGAATATTCGTGGAATTGCAATAGGTGACGTAGAGAACAAAGTATCATGTTATGCGGATGATACCCTCTTTTTCTTAGATGGCTCTGTCAACAGCTGCAGATGCCTTTTTCATGACCTAGGAGTGTTCGCGAAGTTCTCTGGATTGCGCCCGAATATAACTAAAACCGAGGCTATGTGGGTAGGTTATGATGTACAGAATAAAGCAAAGATCTGTGAAGAACTTCCGATTAAATGGACGAAACAGATAAAGGTTCTTGGAATCATTTACGAAAGTGATATCCAGAAAATGACCAATAATAACTTTGAAAGGAAAAAGGGAGAAATTCATGCGACTATTAAAGACTGGCAGAAAAGATACCTAACCATATACGGGAAAATATGTGTAATAAAAAGTCTAATAATACCTAAACTGACACATTTATTCGCGGCACTACCGAATCCATCGCCTGATTTTTTGAAAGAGTTAAATACGATTCTATTCAATTTTGTATGGAACGGGAAGCGAGATAAGATAAGTAGGAAGAGTCTTGTACAACCGATAGAATATGGAGGAGCTGGAATGATAGACGTCAACCTGTACCTTAAGTCGTTGAAAATTGCGTGGGTTAGGCGAATGTTGCAGTCTGATAGCCAGTGGATACAACTTTTTGAAAGTAAAATAGGTCAGAAGAATTGCATCTGGGATAGAAATGCAGTGTCTTTGCGAAATTTCAGTAGACGAGTGTCATATAGTCGTTTCTGGTGCGAGGTTATGGAAGCAGTAGCAGACTTAAAAGATGCATATGGAGATTACTCATTAGATGAAATGGCCGCAAGCACGCTTTGGTATTCTGACTTAAGCAAATTTTGCACTAGCAGAATCAACGAGTGGTATTCTAAGGGGATACATTATTTGAACGATTTACTGAACGCAGACGGTAATATTATGTCATTTGAGGAGATGAAAATTCAATATGGAATAGAAGGTGTGCAATTTGACTATGATTGTCTGGTGAATAGTTTACCGAGAACCTGGAAGGCAGCCAACAAAACTAAGCTAATTGGACCTCTTATAGACCCATGCTTGTCTTTTATAGTTTCCAAATCACAAGGATCAAAACACATTTATTGGAAGTTGATGCAGAAACAGAT